GGGGGGGGGGGCGCAGAGGGCTCCATGTGCGCTGCCCTTGCTGTGCCTCCAGGTACCTCCCCTGAAGCTCCCATTGGCCGCGGTTCCCTGTTCCCGGCCAATGGGAGCTGAGTGGGGCGGTGCCTGGACATAGGGGCAACGCAGAGCCCTCTGCCCCCCCGCCGAGGGGCCGCAGGGATGTGGTGCCGGTAGCGCCACTGGGGGCAATCCCGCGGGCCGGATCCAAAGCCCTGAGGGGCTGGATCTGGCCCGTGGACTGTAGTTTGTCCACCCCTGGTTTAGCAGCTGGGCGAGGGGTCTGGGTGCTGCTTGCTGGCGTTATTAGAAGATGCTCTCACTGCTCCCACATTCCCCTGCAGTGTAGTCACATGCTGCAGACTGCGTTCAAAGGGATCTGACGCTTTGATACATGAGGTGGGTGAGGAGGGAAACCCGCTCAGAGAGGCTGTTGGATCTGAGGGTCCCTCGTCTTCAAGGTGTCCTTGTCTGGGGCCCAGCAGGTCTGTCAGCCTCTCTGCTGCTGCCTGTTGGTGTTTTGGGGGCTCTGAACTTCTAAAATGGTGCCTCTGCCTATTGTGCCTGCCCCCATGAGATCAGTCACAGAAATGACCCGCTAATTCAGGGGTTGGCAACCCTTCAGAAGTGGTGTGCCAAGTCTTCATTTATTCACTCTAATTTAAGGCCTTGGCTACACTTGCCGATGTACAGCGCTGTGAGTTAAACCTGACTTTGTGCAGCTGAGTAGGGAAAGCGCTGCAGTCTGTCCACACTGACAGCTGCCCAGCGCACTGTCGTGGCCACATTTGCGGCAATTGCAGCGCTATTGGGAGCGGTGCATTATGGGCAGCTATCCCACAGAGCACCTTTTCCCATTCTGGCGCCGTGGGTTGTGGGAAGGGGGCGTGGGTGCGGGGCATTCTGGGTCCTGTCCCAACGCCCCGTGATGCATCGCTTCGCATCCCAGAAATCCCTTTGTTTCCGTCCAACTTTGGTGCCATCTTTCAACGGTTTCTGTGCAGCGCGATCTGTCTGTGGGAAATGGAGTCCGAACTGCTGAGGCGTGTGCTGACGAGTCTCGCCAGCACGTCACGTTTGGCTGTCGAACTATTCCTTAAGATCCAAAGTGAGAGTGAGAAGTCCGACGATGCTATCGAGCCGTGTAACGTGTACGACATGAAATTGCTTGTGGCATTCACGGACATGCTCAGCACCATGGAACGCCGCTTTTGGGCTCGGGAAACAAGCACCGAGTGGTGGGATCTCATCGTCATGGAAGTCTGGGATGACGAGCAGTGGCTGCAGAACTTTCGGATGAGAAAAACCACTTTCATGGGACTGTGTGAGGGGCTTGCCCCCACCCTGCGGCGCAAGGACATGAGATTGAGAGCTGCCCTGCCAGTGGAAAGCGGGTGGCTATTGCAATCTGGAAGCTGGCAACTCCAGAGAGCTACCGGTCGGTCGCAAACCAGTTTGGAGTGGGAAAGTCGACCGTTGGAATCGTGTTGATGCAAGTTTGCAAGGCCATTAATCACATCCTACTCAGAAGAACCGTGACTCTGGGTAACGTTCAGGAAATAGTGGATGGCTTTGCACAAATGGGGTTCCCTAAATGTGGAGGGGCGATTAATGGAACGCACATTCCTATTCTGGCACCACCCCACCTAGGATCCGAGTACGTTAATCAGAAGGGGTATTTCTCTATAGTTCTCCAGGCGCTTGTGGATCACCGTGGGCGTTTCATTGACATTAACCCAGGCTGGCACGGAAAGGTGCATGACGCACGCATCTTTCGGAACACTTGGCTGTTCAGGAAGATGCAGGCCGGGACTTTTTTCCCAGAGCGGAAGATGACGGTAGGGGAAGTTGAAATGCCCATTGTGATCCTTGGAGATCCCGCTTACCCGTTAATGCTGTGGCTCATGAAACCCTACACAGGGAGCCTTGACAGCAGCAAGGAACGGTTCAACTACAGGCTGAGCCGGTGCCGAATGACTGTGGAGTGTGCCTTTGGCCGTTTAAAGGGCCGCTGGCGATCTCTGTATGGGAAGCTGGACTTGGCCGAAAACAGCATCCCCGCGGTTATATCCGCGTGCTGTGCCCTCCATAATATTTGTGAAGGGAAGGGTGAAAGCTTCACTCAGGCATGGACCTCCGAGGTCCAACACCTGGAGGCTGAATTTGCACAGCCAGAGATCAGGGCTATTACAGGGGCCCAGCGTGGGGCTGCAAGGATTAGGGATGCCTTGAGGGAGCAATTTGAGGCTGAAAACTAGCAGTGATATCTGGTGCCCTGCACGGGAGTGAAGTGCAGTAGTTCCAATCTTTAGGAATCAGTGTCTGCTAAGCAGACAAGCAGACTTGCAGTGCCTGTTTAGTTCCTGGGCTAAGGAGTCTTTTACTTTATGCAATAATAAAAAAATGTTTTCAAAGCCAAAGAATCCATTTATTGAAAAGAAAAAAAAATTATTGAAAAGAAACAAGGGGGTGGAGTGGGGAACAGTATAATCACAGATTCGCATATGTCCTGTCTGGTGTGCTGTGCAGTGAGTGCTGCACTTCAGGACAGCTATACTGCATAGTGATGGGGGTTGAGTGCAGAGGGTAAGAGTCGTGGTTTTCAGGGCTGGGTGGTGAAGATACTGGTGTTGGAGGCAGCGGGTGGTGTGAAGAACACGGAAGTTGGGGAAAGTGGGTTGGAGGTGACAGTGGGGCACAACGGAAAGTTTTGGGACAAGGGCTGTGGAGGGGGTGGCATTTGCGGTACTGCTCCTCTTTCTACATGGCTACCAGCTCCTGGATAGCATCTGCCTGGCGCTCCAGGATGCTTATGAGCCTATCAGTGCTTTGCCGCCGGTGCGCGGTGCTTTGCCGCCGGTGCGCTGCGTTTTCCTGGCGGATCCTGCTTTCTCTCTCCCTCCAGTTCTGTGATTTCTCATTCTCTTTAATAGATTGCCGCATCACTTCTTGCAGCATGTCTTCTTTGCTTTTTCGCAGTCTCTTCCTGAGTCTTTGCAGTCTCTGAGCAGGCGATAAGAGGGACGGCTGAGGTCTCAAGGTTGATGCAGCTGTATAGGCAAAATGCAACATTTAACAGAGGCAGCATTGTTTATACCAGACAGAGTAATGATTCCCCCCGCACTTAAGGAGTTGAAAACACACAGGGTCTACACAATAGCATAATTTTCCCGTCTGAAACAGAGCACACATATCCCACGGGAGCCTCAAAATGGTGAGTAAGGGGGACTGATTGTTTCAGGGCTGCATTGTCCTCTGGCTTTCTGTGCCTTGGGGAGAGCCAACAGCTTCAGGGGGCACCTACACTGAACACTGTCCCAACATTTTCCACGGGAGTTCGTCCTGGACGATATCTCGCTGCAGAGGGTGACCTGGGAAGCAAGGGAGGGTCTTCTACTGCAATGCGGCTTCCGCCCTGGCCCATATGCAGCTTGCCTGTGTGCAGCAATGGTCCCCCCGCCCCTCGCGGCACAGTGGCGCGGACACGTTAGCCTGGCTGGGACAAGGACCACGGTGGCTCTCCCGATAAACCTGCGCAAGCGCATTGCACATGTTCTGGATGAGACATTAGAGGAGATTACCGAGGCCGATTACTGCGATGTGATAAACCACATCAATGCACTATTCCGCATCTAGGCATGCATGCCTAACCCTCCTCTCCCAAAGAGCCCGCACCGAAAAAATTCCTTCCCGAAAAAAAAAAAAAAAAAACCCGCTTACCGGGAACCTGCTCTTCTGTTTGTCCTCCACCAAGTACCGGCCGCTGCGACTGGCTACCTTCCTCCTGGCTCGAGAAGAGCTCCTGGCTGCATGGCTCCAGGGATTCTGGGGTGTCTCCATCCGGCCCACCACCATCACTCCCGTTTTCCTCCTCCTCCTCCTCTTCCTCCTCCCCCCTCCCCCCACCGGCTCTGAAGTGTCCATGGTGGTGCTCGGAGTGGAGGTGGGGTTAACCCCAAGTATCGCATCCAGCTCTTTGGAGAATCGGCAGGTCACGGAGGGAGCACCCGAGCAGCCGTTTGCGTCGCGGGCTTTGCGGTAGGCACTCCGCAGCTCCTTCACTTTAATCCTGCACTGCAGGGCGTCCCGGTCATGGCCCCTTTCCATCATGTCCTTTGATACCTTCCCGAAGGTATCGTAATTCCTATGGCTGGAGCGCAGCTGGGACTGGACAGCTTCCTCCCCCCAAACACTGATGAGATCCAGCAACTCGCCATTGCTCCATGCTGGGGCTCGCTTGGCGCATGGAGGCATGATCAGCTGGAAAGATTTGCTGATAGCACTCCACGCCACGCTGGGCTGAACAAACAGGAAGAGGATTTTTGAAATCCCCGGGGAATGTAAAGAGTCGGTCACATGGTTGGTTACCTGAGGCCAGGGCAGTAGAGTTTGAGTTGATGACCAGAGTGGCTAGAACAGGCATTGTGGGATACTGCCGAATAATTCTGGAGGCCATTCACAGCGCATTGGGCGGCCACACTGGCGCCGCAGCGGCAGCGCAATACACGCTATTCCTCTTGGAGAGGTGGAGTACATGCAGCGCTGCAACCACGGAGATACAGCGCTGCAAATGCCTTGCCAGTGTGGACGGGGAGTGAGTTACAGTGCTGGGGGCGGCTTTACAGCGCTGTAACTTGCAAGTGTAGCCAAGGCCTAAGGTTTCGTGTGCCAGTAATACATTTGAACGTTTTTAGAAGGTCTCTTTCTATAAGTCTATAATATATAACTAAACTATTGTTGTATGTAAAGTAAATAAGGTTTTTAAAATGTTTACGAAGTTTCATTTAAAATTAAAATGCAGAGCCCCCCGGACTGGTGGCCAGGATCCGGGCAGTGTGAGTGCCACTGAAAATCAGCTCACGTGCCGCCTTTGGCATGCGTGCCATGGGTTGCCTACCCCTGCGCTAAGTATTCGCCCTGTGCTGCCTTCTGGAGTGAACTACACTGTTTGTCGGATTGGTGGCCATGTCCTCTGAAGCAGTTGCTGCTGGCCACCCTCAGACTGGCCCATCTCTCCCATCAGTCTGATCCCATCGGGCAGTTCTTGTTTCTGGCCCTGCTTGTTCTCCACAGAGACGGGACGATCTCTCACCTTGTGTTTTGTTTTTTCTAGTGGAAAAATCTAAGCGGCCTCCTCCATGGCCCCCTGCTGCCTCCTGGTGCCCGGACGGCTGGTTCAGGATCCAAGGGAAATGTTGCTATTTTTCTAAGACCGAAGGGAACTGGACCTACAGCCAGAGCTTCTGCTCGTCACACGCTGCCTCCCTGGCTGGGATTGAGAGTCCGCAGGAGCTGGTGAGAAGCCCGGATAGATGCTTTGTGCCAAGCCCAGCGATCGCTGGCACCACAGACAGGGCTGGAGTCAGGCTGGGCTCAGCCCCTGTAGGGCAGAGAGGAGCCCGGGTGCCTCCCAGGCTGGGCGGCCAGAGTCAGTGCGGTTCTGGCAGCTGAATCCTGGCTGGACCTGGGGCTCCAGCCACCTCGACCCTGCATCTGCCAGAGCCCACGTGGGAGACTCCCCCTGTGCAGGGCTGGGCTGCCTCAGTCAGCTCCAGGCCAATGGGCTGCCTGGGGCTGGAGGGGGTGAGAACCTTCCTCTCCTCCCCCAGCTCAGCCTAGTCCCAGGGTTTCCTCATACAGTAACTCCTCACTTAACATCATCCTGGTTAACGTTGTTTCATTGTTGCGTTGCTGATCAATTAGGGAACATGCTCGTTTAAAGTTGCGCAATCCTCCCTTTTAATGTCATTTGGCAGCTGCCTGCTTTGTCCACTGCTTGCAGGAAGAGCAGCCCGTTGCAGCTAGCTGGTGGGGGCTTGGAACCAGGGTGGGCCGACTGCCCCCCATCAGCTCCCCCCTCCCCTAAGTTCCCTGTGCGGCAGCCACCCAGCAGGATAGCAATCAGCAGTTCAGGTGTCCCTCCCCCCACTGCCATGTGCTGCTCCCGCCCTTTGTCTTGGAGCTGCTCCCAGAGACTCCTCCTTGCTGTGCAGGGGAGGAAGGGGAGGGGTGGCTAATGTCAGGGTGTCCCCCTCCCCCTTACTCCTGCACCCTGCTTACCCCTTCTCCATATAGAGCAGGGTGGGGACACAGACGGAGAGATTCAGAGGAAGCTTGGGGCAGTAGCTTCTGTCTCAACTTCCTGATCCACTTAAAAAGACAATGCACTTAAGAGTGGGTCAGCTTACTTAAAGGGGCAGTGTGCATCTCGCTCTCGCTCTCTCTCGCTCTCCCACACACAAGGTGTGTGTGTCTGTCTCTGTCTGCTATGCTGTCTCCCTTCCCTCCATTCCTGCTGCCTTGTAGAGTGTGAGGCTACATTAACAACGTGTTAACCCTTGAGGGCTCAGCCAAGTGCTAGTTCATCATTTAGCAGTAAGGCATTCCCTGGGAAATACCCCACCCTCTTCCACCCTCTGACTTCACCACCTCAACCAAGCTTCACAGTCAGGGCCGGCGCAACCCATTAGGTGACCTAAGCGGTCGCATAGGACACTAGAATTTGGGGGGCAGCGGCCAGATCTTCGGCCGCCCCAGTCGCAGGCGGCATTTTGGGGCAGGACCTTCCGCCGCCTATGGTGGCAAAAAAGCTGGCGGCGCTCCTGTTCACAATCATCATAGCTGTGAACAGTATTACGTTGTTTGTTTAAAACTTATACTGTGTGTATATCTATATAATAAATAGTTTTTTGTCTGGTGAAAAAAATTTCCCTGGAACCTAACCCCCCCCTATTTATATTAATTCTTAGGGGAAATTGGATTCGCTTAACATCGTTTCGCTTCAAGTCACGTTTTTCAGGAACAGAACTACAACGTTGAGTGAGGAGTTACTGTACGTGGGGCGGGGGAATCCAGCTGGAGGTGAGGCCTGCTTTAGGCCTCTTCCCATCAACTTACCTGCCCTGGTGGCAGGGATGTCTTTGCCTGGGTCCTGCAGCCCCCTCTCTCTCCTGGCCCTGCTGTGCTCTGAGAAGGGGCTGCTGGGTGGACAGTGACCTTGCAGCTCAATTCCTGCTTCACCCCGTAGGTGCCACAGGCCCAAAAAAGAGGAGGGGGGAGGGTGAAGGGTTAATACTTATCTGATCCCTTCACCCAATAACAATGGAAGAGGCCGCTAGAAATCCCCGGCTGCCCAAGGTGGGGAGCAGCACAGAGTCAGGGGCTAACACAGCTGACTGCGTTTATTGCATTTGTAAGGGTTCCCTGCTGCCATACAAGGGCAAACTGGACCACTGGATCGGCCTCCGGAAGGACACGGGCCAGGTCTGGAAATGGGCCAACGGGACCGAGTTTGACCATCAGTGAGTCTCTTTTTCTCTGCATTGGTCAGAGGTGATGGAAATGCCCCACTGGCTGCTTTAACGTTCCCTCCTGCCCAAGTGGGGCCTGGTGCTGGTGCAGGGAGGGGGGGATCCAGAGGGAGGGGAGCTTCTGCACTCAGCCCCTGACTTGGGGTGTCACCCCCGGTCTGTGCCTGGCGCACACAGACTCTAGCTCCAATTGCTTCTGGGTTACAGGTTTGAAATACGTGGAGGAGGAGACTGTGCATACTTGGACGAAGATTTCACTGTCATCAGCTCCAGCTGCAGCACACCAAGAAAATGGATCTGCAGTAAACCTGATACCCCTGTGAAGGGAGAGGAGCGAGCAGTGGGAGGGGATTCGTGAACTCAAGGGAATCGGAGACCAGCTGTGACAAAGCCTTGTTCTCAGGACCGGCTCTAGGCACCAGCAAAACAGCCATGTACTTGGGGCGGCACGTTTCCAGGGGCAGCATTCCTGTCAATGTCTTCAAAAATTCCAACATTAAGCCCCAGCTCTCCTCAGGCAACAAAGTGCCCACCAACTGCCTGGATGTGGCGAGTGTTGTAGGAGCAGCAGTGCTCTGTATGACTATGGTTATGCATATGACTATGTATAACCTGTATGCTCAAAAGATCCGTTACACTTCCCCCTCCCCCTTTTGTCTCCTCCCTCTTTGACTACCTGTGAAGTGGCTTTCCCCCTCCCCCTCCCTCCTGGAATGCTTGTGGGAGACCTTTATGGCGGGGTGGGAGGTTGAGGCAAATAGACTGGCTGCTGATTACGCCCAGCCAGACAGCCGTGCGATTAGAAGAGCCCAGCGGGACGCGCTGTGCATCCGGGAGGCTTTGAAAGCTACGTTCCTGAGTGAGCAGGGTAACCTGTGACTATTAACTGTTTAAAGAGAAGCTGAACCTGCGCCTAGGGCAAACTAATCATGAAAAACCCAGTGTTAATATTGTTAATATTCCTGTTCTGTTCAAAATAAATGTTTACATGTTTTAAACACTTACCGACTGATCCTTCCCCTGATTCTGGGTCCGGGTTAACGCCTTGGGACGGTTGGTAGGGGATCTCTGTGAGGGTGATGAAGAGATCCTGGCTGTCGGGGAAATCAGCGTTGTAAGCGCTGTCGACTGCCTCGTCCTCCTCATCTGCTTCCTCATCTTCCCCATCCGCTAACATCTCCGAGGAAGCGGGCGTCGACAATATCCCATCCTCAGAGTCCACGGTCAGTGGTGGGGTAGTGGTGGCGGCCGCACCTAGAATGGAATGCAGTGCCTCGTAGAAACGGCATGTCTGGGGCTGGAATCCGGAGCGTCCATTTGCCTCTTTGGTCTTCTGGTAGCCTTGTCTCAGCTCCTTGATTTTCACGCGGCACTGCGTTGCATCCCGGCTGTATCCTCTCTCTGTCATGGCTTTTGAGATCTTCTCGTAGATCTTTGCATTCCGTCTTTTCGAGCGCAGCTCGGCAAGCACGGACTCATCTCCCCACACAGCGATGAGATCCAAGACTTCCCGATCAGTCCATGCTGGGGCCCTCTTTCTATTCTGGGATTGCATGGTCACCTCTGCTGGAGAACTCTGCATCGTTGCCACTGCTGCTGAGCTCGCCACAATGTCCAAACAGGAAATGAGATTCAAACTGCCCACACAGGAAAAGGAATTCAAATTTTCCCTGGGCTTTTCCTGTGTGGCTGGTCAGAGCATCCGAGCTCGGACTGCTGTCCAGAGCGTCAACAGAGTGGTGCACTGTGGGATAGCTCCCGGAGCTATTAGCGTCGATTTCCATCCACACCTACCCTAATTCGACATGGCCATGTCGAATCTAGCGCTACTCCCCTCGTTGGGGAGGAGTACAGAAATCGAATTTAAGAGACCTCTATGTCGAACTAAATAGCTTTGTTGTGTGGACGGGTGCAGGGTTAATTCGATTTAATGCTAAATTCGACATAACCTCCTAGTGTAGACCAGGCCTTAGTCTGTCTCCCGGGTTTTGTCCCATCCTAGTTGTCTGTAGGTTCCCTTTGCTAGAGCGGCCTCTGAACTTTATTGGGAGTGTTCCAGGGGAAAAGCCTGTGTGCTGCAATCTAGCCTTAGAGACTACAACTCCCATGATGCCTTGGAGAAAGGGGGGAGACTTCCTCGTGCAGGCGATGGACTCTATTTTGGGGAAAGGAGTGGGATTGCTGTGAAGCTCTGTCAATATCAGGCGCTGCTGCTGGGAGCCTGCTGGGGCTTTGATTGAGCAGGGAGCCTCAGAGGCTGTTGGTGGCTTCAGTGGAGCCAGGGCAGAGACTATATCAGGCACGCAGGTGAGTGTTGCCTGCTCCTAAGTAACCCAGGGAAGAAAGGGGGGTTACATGTCAATTACCCTAATGCTGCATTTTTTTAAACATTCTCTTGGGGAGATTGCCACAGGTTCAGGGTAACTGGATCTCTATCCCATCTCCATCAGGTCTGGGCTTGAGTCTCCAGCCACCCCATGTCTCTGGGCAGAGACCCCGTCCCACTCCCTGACCGGGGCACTTAAAGCTGCACGGCTCCCTTCCATACACTGGGTATCCCCAGCAAGCCAATCTGTCTATAAGCCAGCACCTGCACTTTGCTTCCGCTCTGAGCGCAATGCCCAGCACGTTCCCGCTGTTACAAGCTACCACACGGCCCTTCCTCAGCTGATACATTTATTCTAGGGCAAAATCATTATGGAGAAAATGTATAAAAATCACTAAAAGTTCCCCCTCGCTAAACACACCAGAAATCATCACTCTTCCACAGTGGAGTCTAGTAGCCAGTGACCCTTCCAGGCCCTCCCTGTGGGGCTGGGGGTCCCACCTGCACTGAGAGCAGGTCCTGTCTGTTTGAATCAAAATAAAGGTTGTGAATCTGTTTAAACTCAGACTTTGTGTGTCCTAAGTTCTGTCTCTGTCTCTAGAAACCCCCCTGTGAGCCAGTGTGTGGGAACCAAACGTTCCAGGGTGTGATCCCAACCAGAGAGAGGCTGTGTCACCACTTGCCCTGCAGCCTGGCATGCCTCACAATCCTGTGCAGAAACTCCCAACCTGGGCCAAACAGCCTGCAGGTCATGCCCTGACTGGCTGTGCCTAGCCCCAGCCCTGGTCCAGCAGCCTGTCACCCGCACCACACTGGGTCCACCAGCCTTGGTCACTACTTGCAGGGTGACCCCAACACACTCCCAGTCCTGAACTTTTCCCCCCAAACGTGTTCTGCACTGTCCAGCCCTTTCCTGGACAGTCCAGATCTACTCGGTCCATTGCCCCTCTAAGGACATCAACATACAGTCTGCTACCTTAGATAGTTACCCAAACAAGTCACAGCCCTGGGTTAGTTGTAATTAAAGACTAAAACAAGTTTATTTACTTACAAAGAGATTTTAAGTGAGTACAAGTAATGAGGCATTAAAGTCAGGAATGGTTACAAGAACAATAAAAACACTTTCTAAACTTAACAAACTAGACTTGGTTCAAGGTGACATCCCTCACCACAGATTCCCAGTTAACAGTACTGACCAAACTCTCAGGTCAGTATCTGCTCCCAATGTCCAAGGGCTCTTTTTTGCCCTCTTATGTGAAAAGAAGAAGAGAGAATTTGGGGTATTTTTGCCCCTCACTTTTATAGTCCAGTCCCCCTTTGAGATACAGTTTCCCCTCAAAGCAAGTTTTAGTCAAACAGTAAAGAAGGCAACATGATGTCTGGTGGTGAAAAGTTCTGTGCTGTTTCTTCTCTCCTGTTTCCTGAAATGCAGATTTTCCTGGTCTCCTGTCTTCCCTCTCTCGCTGTCTGAGGACGCTGTTTACAACGTACATATAAACTGAGGGAAACACACATTCCTTTGTTTAAGATCTGCTTGATCAGTTCTTCCTAACCAGGGCTACGTGCGTTAGAACGTGTGCCACCAATATCGTTTAGGGGGAAATTCATAACTTTACATATAATGTTGCTACATCCATTTCCCCATGATATTATTGACCAGCAAGTTATTAGTTTTCAAATGATGCCTTTAAAAGGTGTATTTTTGTATTAAAGCTTATTACAATAGTGTGAATACAGCTGTGGTCACCCTCCCCCATGGAGTAGAACACAAGCATTGAGAAGCCATTCATAAATTTGACACACTGGTCCCCAAAGAGAGTGCAGGGGTTGCAATATCCCAGATTCTCAGACCTCCTCACTGCTGGGGATTGTCTCCTCAGCACCAGCCTGAAATTTCCCCCCTTGCTCAATTCATCCCATTGGCTCCAGTTGCTCCCTGGTGCCTTTAATGATTTCTTGCCCTTCTGGGGTTTGCACCCTTCAGACTGGGTCATGGCTCCTTGCTGTATCCACAAACTGCAACACATTCCTTTCTGCAGACAGCCTCTCTGCAACCCCTTGGGTGCCCTAGGTTGGCTTTGGCTTGTTGTGTTCTACATGGTGTTGGCACTTTCAAGCTTTGTCCATCTCCACTATCTACAGCCAGCAATGCAGCTGTGCTGCCCTGTGAGATACAGACTGTGGGTGTCTTCATGCAAACCCAGCCTCTGAATTTGTGCCTGGGAGCCTCCTTTGGTGAAAATGTGGCCCTACAGACAGCTTGACACGCCTTTATTTTTTTTTTCCAGGAGGCTCCTTTCCCCTCCCTGCCAAAACTTGTGCTGCCCCTGGTCACTGACTGCCGATTCTCACATCCGCAGGCTGCACTTCAGGGATAGATTTCTTCAAGGAACTTTTTAATTTAAAATATTTTCTTACATGTCTTTTATAAAGACACTGCAGTGCTGGAATGTTAATTTTAAACTAATGTTAATTATTGCATATTCCAGAGGGCAGATTGTTGCTGCTTGAGTTAGGTTGTTATACCAATAGAATAAAAACCAGCAGGATCTTATTAAGAGGGATAAGGCAAAGATGCCACATTTATTGTAAATATAATAATAAAGCAAAAGATAAAAGTAAACAATGTTGTTTGACTATTTATTCCTATTGCTACTTATTTCTTACACACACACACACACACACACACACATATATATATATATATTCATTTACACATTTATTTAAGTTCTGTATAGGTGTTATAATTACCAGCTTAGAAATTGCTCATGCCAAGTTACTGGCCAGGTATCTTGGTCATGAGGATGGAGCTGAGTCTGTGTCAGATGCACCTGATGCTCCTGGAGGCTGGCAGCAGAACCAGAGACTTAAAATCCTCAGTCTTGAGAGTCCATTCTTATAGGAATTAATTCCTATGTTATTCTATAGGAGCTGTTTCATCCTGCTGTTGCTGACTCAGTCAGCAGATGGCACATTCCTGGTGGCTCCACACTATCCAAAGTTTGTGTTTTTCATCCTTCCAGGTGATGGGGTGGATCCCAGTTTACCCTCCGGGGGTTGTCTGGTGGTCCACTTGACACATTCTTTGGCCGATGGATACCCCCTTTCTAGGCTGGCACCTCCCTAACCATTCATGCACATCAAGCATTCATCAACATATATTCCATATGTTAACCATATTTTAATTTACTGTCTCCACCACTTTTGGGGTGTGTGCTAATTCATTTGAAACTCCTGGCCCTTTAATCACAGAGGGTGGGGGTAAGTTCCTAGGAGCTGTTGCTGTTACAATGAAGTGAAAGTCACTTAAGGGCTTATAGTGTTTGTTTACCTTGTATCAATTACAGTATCTTTCACAGGACAGATACAATCAATGGTTTCTACAGACAGTAGCTTACAAATTTTAACAGAAGACCCAAGAGATTTTTGTACTTGGTGAAACTGGATTTTAAAGTGTGGGGGACAAATTATGGGGGGGGGGGTCACTGTCACTTGGGGGAATCACTGTTAGTACCTTCTTTAATATCCCTACAAGGTGCCTTCTCTGCAGGTGTCTGAACTCAACTGTGTAACCTTGCTCTGCAATATATTTGTCATACTCATATCTGCTTATTAGGTATGTTGAGCTCTTTCCTGGGAATGGATTCTGTTGCTGACAGAAAAAACTGCCCTAAACTAGGATAGCCGCGTCTAGATATATATGGCTAATCTATTAGCAATGTTCCAGAGAAGGGATTCAAATCTCGTGTACTAAACACTTGGCTGCTGTCTCCTCCTCCAGTCCTCATGTAAACCTAGTCTGAATTTTTTAAATTATTTTATTTTGCCTGAAACTATTCAGGAAATTCAACACCAGTTTGTGAATAGTCTTGTTCAACCCAAAACTGCATTTTTTGACAAAACATTCAGTGGAAAATTTCATCCCAGCTCTACTTGTGATGTCACTTCACTAGTTCTCCCTTCACCATAATCTTCCAGCCCAGACAGGACCTGAATTTCAAATGCAAGAAAAGCCTTTCATGCCGTCTTTATCCATGTTATAAAAGCAGGGGGGAGGGGAAAGGGCACAAGCCCAATTTTTCCCTTTGAAGCTCACCTTCAATATTCATCGTTCATGGGACAGATTGAAACTAAAGAAGATTTCTCGTTCACACATAGAAAATACAGATAATTAACGTCACTGTCTATATCTGGAGAGCGTCTTTTTCACAAATCCATTTAGATACAGTAGTGCAGGTTTCAAAATGAATTTCATGTGCTTTTATCATCCCACAGCTGTTCCCTTCAGCAGGATCCTGTACATTGAACCTGGAAAACAAAATAAATAAATAATTGCTGTTTAGAATTTTTGAGCAAGATTTTTAGCAGCTTTGCCTCATTCTGACACCTCTCGAATTTCTTCCTTAACCACTGAATTGTTCCTACAGAGCCCTAGTTGATAAAACACTTCCTAGCATGTGACCCTTTCGTAGGAGCTGGTTGGCCTTGATCTATTTCTGAAAACACTTGTCCATATTACAAAACCCAGCCCTCAGGATTAGCCTAACTGTTGTGGAAGCCATTGAATGAGGCTCAGGACGCATCTCTCTGTGCAGAGTGTTGTGCCCAGCACTTAACATCCCCTGCGCCCATACGGAGCCTCTGCTCTGACCAATGCTGGAAAGCAACAGCCCTGTTCCCCCTACTGCACATCTTACATGGACTCATGGGATAAAACCACTCACAGTGTTTGATTGTACAGGGAGCCGTCCACCCAAGTCCAATTCCTCACGGGGGATGTAACAGTGAGTCCAAGCCAGATCTGGTTTGTGTCTTTGGAAGCAGTTTGAATGAATGTCTGTAAATGACATGAAAGAATGAAGTGACGGGGAAGGAGGGGCTTGGGGTTAGGGTGCTAGCTAGAGACTCTGGGAACTGGGTTCTATTCCCCAGACTCCCTCTGTGACCGTGGGTCAGTTGTTTAGTTTCTGTCCTGACTGGGGCAGAATTAAGGCCTTGGTACAGTCTTTGTGGTGTGGGGGGGTCATGCTATCGGTGAGGTGTCACCGCTGGGGGGCAGGGCACAGGTTATGTGCTGTTGCTGGCCTGAACTTTTCATTTCCTTGCTTTTTAGCTTGTGTGGGTATGTATAGAGCAGGGGTGGCCAAACCGTGGCTTGTGAGCCACAGGCATCTCTTTACAGTGAAAGTGCAGCTCCCAAAGCCCCCTCCCACTCCCATTCTCTGCCTACCAGATTTTGGGGGGGGGGGGGAGCTCAGGCCTTCTGCCCTGCGCTGGGGTGGTGGGGCAAGGAGGGTGAGGTTAGAGACGACTGGTGCTTGCTGAGAGTGGGGGGGGGGGGCCACAATTTAAAGGTTCCCTCTCCCAACAGCTTGCCTCCCCTCTTACCCTCAGCGCCCCCACCCTGCATCTCCCAGGTGTTAGCTCTGCATGGAGAGGCAATGCCAGACAGCTGGGAACTGCAGTGAGGAGCTCCCAGCTGTTTGTCGCTGCCTCTCCCCACAGCCGCAGCTCCCAGTGCAGGGAGTTGGGCCCAGTGGCACCATGTGACCAAGTGGGACCAGCAAACCCTGGGAAAATCGGGGGGTACGTGCCCCCTCACGCATCAGCTCTGGCTTCCTGCCCAGTGTGGAGGGGGGGGTGTCTCAGGGCTTTAGCCCTGCAGGGCGCGCCTCCTGGGGCTCAGGGCTTCAGCAGGAGCAGGGCTGAAGCCTTGAGCCCGGGCAGGTGCCTCCCGTGGGGCTGAAGCCTGAGACCCCCCCTTCCTTGCAGGGATGACGCTTGAGTCCCGGCAGGAGCACCTGGCTCTAGAACTTCCAACGATTGTTGTATGGGGCTCGCAGGGTCAGTACGTTTGGCCACCCTTGATGTAGAGCAACCCTGACAGACACACAACACAGGGGTTGTGTGTATTAATTATTACTAGTGATGCTCATATTTCCAGGACAAGTTTTATTTACCATCTCATCCTGGTCCCGGATCACCAGCAGCCGAGAGCTCCTCCGTGAACAGTCATCGCGGCTCTTGTCCCAGGGATTTTTTTCTTTTGACACCCAGTAGCACTTGTCCCTGTGCAGCAGCCAGTTTGGGGGGCAGAGCTTACACCCTGATCCCTCTGGAGGGGAAATGGAAACACTTAATGGAGCTAAAGGTTCTGAACTGCATCACACTCATACACAGGCCTCCAGCTTCCCCATTTCCAGTAGAGCTATTGTCTTGGTTTTGTTTGAGGACAGGTCCAAAATTCCACTCGCCACAGGTGCTGCAGGCTGGGGGGGGGGGGGGGGGGGGGGTATTGGTGAAACTGTGAGTACCTCCGTCCTGAAATAGCACGGGCTAATGCAGGTCAGGCTCAACTGGAATTCTCCTTCACTTCCTCCCCTTTAGTGTAGTGTTCCTGTGCACTGGTTAACAGCCATTACATTTCCCCTTAGAGATGGCTGCATGCCAGTTGGGGTAGATAATACTACATATAAAAGAGTTAAAAGAACTTTATTTAGGTTGCAAAGTCAAAATTGGAAATGCCACATTCATGGCTTGCCCGTGCAACTGTAATTCAGCCTGATTGTGAGGTCATCCAGTACACTGAATGCTTTGGGAGCCATCATGGACATGGGAACCAAATAGGCCTGTGCACTAAATGAGTCAGCAGCCGTGAGCTAAAAATAGATAATCATGCAATAAAGACCATATCATAAGGCACACACAACTGGGGGCTGAATTAAGGTTGTGCGGGTAACTGAATTAAGGTTGTGCAGGTAATCTGGCATTTCTTAACTTTCGGAAGCTTGTCTTTGTAATCTTTGTGTTCTCTTAATCCAGTATTGTGTTTAATTTCCTAGTTTTTTAAAAAACATATAAAACAATTCTGGAACTGGAAGAACTCCACCATCCTCAATCAGCAGCAGTGTTTGAACCCTGGATCTTCAGTACCACACCACAGTGCTATCGCTCCAGCAACAGGAATAACTCTGCTTGCTGGTTAGAGGAAAAGTCTGCAATCCTGTGGGATGGGGGCAGGGAATAGGCCTGGGTAGTCAAAGGGAGCCCAGCCAGCTCTCTCTCCCTCCCCAGGAGGAGCTTCTGGTCCATGTGGTGTTCCTGGGAGCAAGGGGTTGATAGACCACTGGGGCCATGTGCTGGGTGAGGGGAAGCTCTCAACCTGCCCCCCCCCCCCCACACACACACACGCACCCATCTCCATCTGCTCTGGTAGCTCCCAGTGCCGGGTGTGCTGCTGTGGCAGGTGAGCCCAGCACTTTTGACTGTTATTTTGTCACACTACAGAGTTTTCCTGAGGATCAGAAGCAAGGTGGGAAATGGCGGCTCTTCCAATGTTCCCAGCTCAGCAAAACCTGGACGAAATTTCATGGACCAAAGAAAACATGTTTCTCCAGCCTGAGGGCTCCCCTCGCCCCCCTATTTCAAAGGCCTGCTTCGAACAAGGGAAGTGTGAGAGCTCCTCAAAGATACCACAAGACTCTTTTACAATGGAAGCGTTAGGGACCCTAAACATAGGAGTCGCTACCAGCTGCCCTATAAATAGTTATTGAAGTGGTTTGTGTCCTGAACTGGGTTACCCGAGCTGACCACTAGATGGCGCTACAATACAGGAAGCTGCTGAGAGAGATGAGGCTGAGGTTACCTGCTGAGTTGCTGTGAGATGATTCACACACAAATTGTTTCAAGTGGAAATGGAAATCTTTTAGGCCAGTGCTGCAGTTGGATTGATGGATGATTCTCTCCCCGGTACTGTTGTTCTCCAGTGTATTCAGACATCCTTTGAGCTGAGAAACTTCAGAAGAGTATTAGCATGAACTGCAACTACTACTTAGGGATCAGCAAACTGAGAATGAGGCTGTGTGTAATAAACCGGTACATACTGTAGCTATCAAATTCAGAACTGGGACAGAGAGATAGAACAAGACAGGACAAGAGAGAGAAAATTTCATTCATTACACAGAATAAGGTGCTTTCCACTTTTCCCACACACACTGTACAGTGAAGTTTGTGAGAGCTGGATCCTCTAGGGTTTATGTACCAAGCTCTAACACCACCTTGGTCATGTAATATTGTTCCCTTTGTGGTGAAAATGAAGTGTCCAGGATATTATTCACAAGTGTATTGGAATCAGAAGTGGAATCAACATGGAAATCAGGGGGAAAGGGAAATTTCAGGGAGCAGCATTTTGTACAAATTAATTTTGAACTACTTACTCCAAACGCCCGTCACTATCACAGCAACTGCCAGGATGAGGATCCCAGCTGCTCCCAGCCCCAGAGCGAGCCGATGCCAGCATGGCACCTGAGGGTGATCTGTAAGAGTTAGTGTTTGGTGAAACGTCTTCAGCACATAGTGCAAAAAATAATAATGGCCACCTGCTGTCTAGTGGAGCCTGTGCAGCATCCTCCAATGGGAGTTTAAATTTCTCCTCACATAATACCAGGAATAGTTTTAAACCAGTCACTTGTAGGGCATTGTGATGAGGTGTCCAACCCACACAGGAGTGGAAAGGGTTAATGGAGGCCAGATGGGCCAATTCACCTGGCACATTGAGAGCAGAGAGGAAAGTCCTGACTAGAGGAACAAGCTCACCTGTGCAGGAACAGGTGGGGCCTGTAGAAAGCCAGGTAGCTGGTCACAGAGGTTGTTGCTGGGAAAGGCTGCAGGGAAGTAGGCTGCAGTTGCACCTTGGATAGAGGGAGTTGGAGGCTGGCAAGCAGGGAGTGGGGGGAGCCAGCTATGCAGGAAGAAGCCCAGGGAAACAGCAGCAAGGGGTAGGATGGTACAGAGACCTTGGCTGCTTGTTCTAGGGTCCCTGGGCTGGAACCCAGGGTAGAGGACGGGCCTGGGTTCCCCTACCAGCCGCTAGGAAGGGGAAAGGGCACAGGAGATGCCAGCCAGACAGCAGGTCTGGAAAGACTTTGAATTCCCTGGAAGGAGAGAATCTTAGTGGCCTGGCTTTAGTGCACAAGCTTGATCAGAGCTACCATGGATATGTCTGCCCAGGCTGAAACCACGATGTCGGCTCTGGTGTAGACGTGCTGCAAGATTCTGCCACCCCCACTAGTTCCAAGCTTTGTCTGGAAGCTTTAAACAAGCTTGGAGCCCGCTCTGTGCTTCCTGACACCCAGCTGCCATCACAGCCAATGCAGGATTGGGCCCTTAAACCTCAGCTACCCCAGCCTGTGTCCTCCTGGTCCTATGGACATTGGCTTCCACTCCTGGGATCTTTTCGTATTGCACTGCAGAGAGTTTATTTCCAGGATGTGACAATGAGGCATTCATCTGTGTCTGATTGTATAGATCAGGGGAGATCTGCTGTAGGAGAATTGAACCCAGGGGACCTAATTCTGGATGGGAGACAGGCTCCAAAGTCCTGTATATTACAGAACTCACGAGGGAGAGGACAAGCAGCTCAAGTGTGTAGTTTGAGCACAGATCTTTCTCCTGAGCTAATACAGTAAATCTAGAACTCAGCGAGGTGCAGGAGCTGCTCAGATCAGTGTTTCCGCCGTGCATTGCTTTGCTTTTGTCAATATCAGAGTTGCATCTTCTGGAGTGTTAAGCTCTTTCACCCAGTGATGCGTGGTGGTCTCTCTCTGAAGTCTCTCCGTTTTCTCCGATCCTGAGTGACCTAACTAATCGAGTGACTGACATCCCCCAGCTTTGCAACCTCTTGACCCTCCCCCTTTCCAGATCATGAATATATTAAACACCAGCCCTAGTGCAGAACCTTGTGCAGCCCACTGGCCACTGCTAACATTTTGTCATGATGAAACTGACCATTAAGTCCTACTATTTGTTTCCTTCTCTTAGGCAGTTTCTGTTCCAATCTAGTACTTTACCAGTCACTTAGGACTTTTCTACACCAGGAAATTTACCAGATGGTTGTTCCCGAATAGGTCTCCATGTGGACACTCTATTCCAATTAAAAATCACTTTATTCCGGAATAATTAGTGCACTTTCAAACAGGAGTAATTATTTTGGAATAAAATCACTTTTAAAGTCAATATCCTGGTCAGTTTACCCATGTAGACAAGTCCTTATTTTCCTTAGAAACTTCTGGTGAGGGACCTTGTCAAAAGCTCTTTGAAAGTCAGGAGGCTGGTACAGTGGTGTACATATTAGTGTATCTGTATTCTTAGCACTTGGGATTTGTAGCCTGGTAGATTATACTGGCGCAATACAGCTCCCAAATCTAATCTGTCCTTCCTGTGTAGTTTACAGTCTGGTGCTATAGTATCCCATTGATTTGGGGAATTCTACCACCTACTGTGTCAGGTCTTCTGTCAGAGTCCGTTCCAATTCACCTGCTTGTTACCTTGACACTTCTCACATTTGTAAATACACATTTACAGGTTTTATTTTTGACCATCTGCCTATTTTTATTTAACTCCTTTGATGCCCTTTTGCAGAATTTATTTTTGTGATCTTACCCCGCCCAGCCTCCTGATCAGCTGTAATGTGTGTCCTGTCCTTTACTGCAGTGGTTCTCAACCAGGGGTACGCATATCCATAGGGGAATGCAGAGGTCTTCCAGGGGGTACATCAACTCATCTAGATATTTACCTAGTTTTACAACAGGCTATGTAAAAAGCACTAGCATCCCCACTGCCTCATCTCTATCCACCACCCTCTGCAGTTATCTGCGCTATCACTAGAGTATCACAATGGTGCATCCAGAATTTCCATACACATGAGATGTTTTCCCTTGTCCCCTCACTGCAAGGTGACATGTAAAGGCCCAGTCAGTAATGGACACTACAGGGAGATAGTAAGTCACGTACCTTGGGTCCCAGGTTGACACAGCCGGTCTGATGTTGTCATCTTTGGACGAAGGTTTAATGCCATGTACCCCTCTTCGTCCTCCATTGGCCAGGCTTGTCTCGGGTTTGAATTCTTTTCAGCAGATACTCAGAGGAGGGAAAAGAGCCAGCTACCAACTAACCCTCAGACTCTGCAGCTCAGGGCTCACCTCCAGCAGCAGCACTGACCCTCCTCATGAGAAACCACAGGAAGTTCAGGCTCTGAACACAAGTGACACCCAACTCCTCCGCCTCCCCCAACATTCTTGAGCCCATCACTAGACCCTTCTCTCCTGCAACTTCTGCTGAGTCCCAGCAAAGTTAGTTTTAATTTCAAGGGTAGGGTCTGAAGTCAGTGGTGCTACTCAGAGTAGAAAACCCTGTATGTAGTAGTGAGTGTTTGCTGGATCAAGCCGTTAGTTGTGACAAAGGAAATTACAGCGGAGCACTAGCTGCTATAGCAAAGTTCTACAATAGCTTTCTGTTTAAAGGTTGACTGTTCTAAGTGCTCTCAAGTCCACATGGGTACTCAAATTGCCTTGAAATGTGGTGTGCCTCATGGGGCTGCAGCAAGGTATGGCAAGTCATCCAAATTTGGGGTCATTTGATCCAGGGGTTCCTGAGATGCAGCCCCCACAAAAAAACAGCTTTTCTTAAGGTTCACCAATTCTATCAACATTTTTTGTGCAGACCTAGGGATCCAACCATGGCTGTGATTGTGGCCCATATGGTCTGAATCATGGCACAGCTACCCCAGCTAATGCATGGCACCCACTGCCTGTCTGGTGGAGCAGGGTTGCAAACAGTATTGCAGAAAGAGTTTAGCTCTATAGATAGCTAGATGCCTAATGCTCATACACTGCACATGTGGGACAGAGTAGGTGAGAGGGTTTTCTAGTCTACCAGCTCTCACAGTAGCTGGGAGCCTCCAGGGGCTCTGCAGTGATCTGTGAATGTGACCAACACCCGGCTGGGGTCAGGCTGAATTAAACTCAGGGCAGAAATCTGAAAAATGTCTGTAGCCATGTTGCTAAAATCTGCCTCTGCCAGTGGGGTTTTGTTCTTTTGGGAAATGTAACCTGAGTACGGCAAATCATTCAGAAGTTGCTGGAACTAGTTTTGAAAAGAAAATAAATTACACATGCAAATGCTTGCTGGGAGGAGGGGGAGAGGGGTTTGGGGCTGAGACAAGGGAAGAGAGGGGTTATGGGGAGGAGGATAAATGGGGATGGGTGGTAGGAGAGGGCTTGGGGGAGGAGGTGAGGGCTAGAGGAGTGGGAGCTAATGCCCCAATAGCTTGCATTGCTTGTCTCAGATCCCTGTGTCCCCTCCTCTGGACCATACTCCTCAACACTACCTCCTTTGGGACCCCACTGAAATCACTTACTACTGATGTCCTTTACCCCTCACTGAAGAGGGAAAAACAATAACAGAAAATGTGGAAATGGCAGAGGTGCTTAACAATTTCTTTGTTTTGGTTTTCACCAAGAAGGTTGGTGGCATTTGGATGCCTAACATAGGGAATGCCAGTGAAAATGGGGTAGGATCAGAAGCAAAAATAGGGAAAGATCAAGTTAAGAATTACTTAGACAAGTCACCAGGGCCTGATGAAATGCATCCTAGAATACTCAAAGAGCTGACTGAGGAAATATCTGAGCCATTAGCTATTATCTTTGAAAAGTCATGGAAGACGGGAGAGATTCCGGAAGAGTGGAAAAGGGCACATATAGTGCCCATCTAAAAGAAGGGAAATAAGGACAACCCAGGAAATTATAGACCAGTCAGCTTAACTTCTGTACCAGGAAAAATAATGGAGCAAATCATTAAGGGAACTGATGGGCAGGATCCCCTGGGAGAATAACATGAGGGGGAAAGGAGTCCAGGAGAACTGGCTGTATTTTAAAGACTCCTTATTCAGGTTGCAGGAACAAACCATCCCGATGTATAGAAAGAATAGTAAATATGGCAGGCGACCAGCTTGGCTTAACAGTGAAATCTTGCTGGAGGGAGGCCTCATCTGGAGTACTGTGTCCAGTTTTGGGCCCCACACTACAAGAAGGATGTGGAAAAATTGGAAAGAGTCCAGCGGAGGGCAACGAAAATGATTAGGGGGCTGGAGCACATGACTTATGAGGATAGGCTGAGGGAACTGGGATTGTTTAGTCTGCAGAAGAGAAGAATGAGGGGGGATTTGATAGCTGCTTTCAACTACCTGAAAGGATGGATCTAGACTGTTAACATTGGTACCAGATGACAGAACAAGGAGTAATGGTCTCAAGTTTCAGTGGGGGAGGTTTAGGTTGGATATTAGGAAAAACTTTTTCACTAGGAGGGTGGTGAAACACTGGAATAGGTTACCTAGGGAGATGGTGGAATCTCCTTCCTTAGAGGTTTTTAAGGTCAGGCTTGACAGAGCCCTGGCTGGGATGATTTAGTTGGGGATTGGTCCTGCTTTGAGCAGGGGATTGGACTAGATGACCTCCTGAGGTCCCTTCCAACACTGATATTCTATGATTCTATGAATCAATTTGAAAACATCTGGAAGATAATAAGGTGATAAGTAATGGTCAGCATGGATTTGTCAAAAACAAATCATGTCAAGCCAACCTGATAGCTTTTTTTTGACAGGGTAACAAGCCTTGTGGATAGGGTTATCCAACCAGTTATGCACACACCTTACAGTAGCTCCATCCAGGTTGTATTTCCCTAGTTTGTTAATAAGAAGGTCCGGTGAGATCGTATCGAAAGCCTTATTAAAGTCCAGATATACCACATCTACCGCTTCCCCCCCTAACTGTCAGGGTGGTTAAGCACTGGAATAAATTGCCTAGGGAGGTTGTGGAATCTCCATCACTGGATATCTTTAAGGGCAGGTTAGACAAATGCCTGTCAGGGATGATCTAGATGATGCTTGGTCCTGCCATGAGTGCAGAGGACTGGACTACATGACCTCTCGAGGTCCCTTCCATTCCTATCATTCTATAAGCATATTTTCATAAAGCATATGGTGTGCAACATCACAACATTGATCCCTTGATCTTCTCTGTTTTCCAGCTGAGTCCTTTAGAAGGGAAACCAGCATTGCCAAACCACCTTCACTGGCACCTGCACTGGCATAAGCGGTCAGAGCACAAGTCAGTCTAGCACACCTGTCAGCAGTGGGGATGCTGGAGATGGGTGAAGAAGGAAGGGATGAGGGTTAGAGCCAAGGAAACCTGCAATGCTGACCATGGTTGAGTGGGTTAGGTTAGCTCCACATTCCAGCTGTGATGGATCTAACCGGGGGGGCCATATAACTTGGCATCCCCCATCCCTCCGGCTGCACCAGATTAGACCAATGGGACCATTTAGCCTGGCATCCCACCTCCACCCCTCCACTGGTCGGTGCATGGTTCCTAACCATGTGGGCGTATCAGGGGAAGTGAAAGGGTTAAATCTCTCTATCTAAGCAAGGTGGAAAGGAGCCCAGGTGTCTGCCATCAGAGCAGAGACTGCAGAAGGAAGGAGGCAGACTCCAGCTGGGGATTGTCACCTATCAAGAGCATAAAGCAACCAGCAGGGAGGGATGCAAGTGTCAGGCTTTCCCTGGCAACACCAGGGAGAAGATGTGGCTGCTTGGAGAAGGGACTAAATAGCTTATTCTTTCCTTTATTATAACCCTTAATAATGCAGGGGAAGGGTCTACAAGAGTGGAGTGTCTGTCTGTGGGGGACAGACTGGCAGTTAATCAGGGACGGGGGGGGTCTGGAAGAGTGGGGCTCTGTGGGGGACAGACTGGCAGTTAGTCAGGGACGTGAGGGGGGGGGGGGGAAGAGCGGGGCTCTGTCTGTGGGGGGCAGACTGGCAGTTAGTCAGGGACATGGGAGAGGGTTGGGAAGAGCGGGGCTCTGTCCGTGGGGGGCAGACTGGCAGTTAGTCAGAGATGTGGGAGGAGGGTCGGGAAGAGGGGGGCTCTGTCTGTGGG